CAGCTTAATTCTAAACTTTTTTTTTAATATTTAAAAGCTGGTCTTATACTTCTAAGTCTATTAAAAAAACTAATTTTTTTATCAGATTTATAAGTAGTTGTACAGTAGTTAAAAATCTAAAAATAAATTTATAGTAAAAGTTTATAAATTTTAAAAAGCTTTAAATAGCTTTTACTAACTTAGGGCTTTTTTATAAGATAATTACTTTAATCTTTTTAAAATCTATTTTAACACCTTACCCTGTATGTATAATAAATCTAAAATAAAAAGTTTCCTTTTTTTAAAACTTATACTTTTTAATATCTAAAAACAGGCCGGTTTTTTTTAGTTTTTATAATATTTTTTATATATATTTATAGTACTTCTTAATATTTCTATTTATATAAGTTAACATATTATTAATATAAGCTGAATAGAATTTATTAAAATATTTATATAGTACCCAGTTAATATACTTTTAAAAAGTACTTAAAGTATTTACTAGTTTAAAAAGTATTACTAATTAATTATATAGCCTATACTATATATAAAAAACTGTTATCTATTTTTAACCTTTTATAATACAGATATTATAAAAGGCGGACGAAATATCTAGTTTAGTATACTATTTTATTTTCTAATTTAATTTAGAATCTTATAGATTAGGAAAAGCAGATAGCATTTTTTTTATAATTATATTAAATACTTAGTAATTTATATAAAATCTTAAACCTTTTTTTAGCCTTTATATAAAAAGTACTAAAGCTGCTGCTGAGAAGTAGCTAACTTATATAAAGTTTTTTTTAATAGTTTAATTATTTTAGACTGTAAGACTGTTAGTTTTTTTAAAATATATTATAAAAAGGGCTCTATAAGACTTTTGGCTTTTTTTTACTTTAGTATATAAGCTTAATTTTATAGTTAATACTTTTTCTTTAGTATAATAGTAGTTTTTCTGTGTTTTCTAATTAAAAGAAAGGCAGAAAGTTCTAATAGTATTTAAAAAGTATTATATATAAATTAACTATTTTTTTAGTTTAAAGTACTTTTTAAATATTAGTAAGTAAGACTATAAATATTTTTATATTTTTTTTAGATCTTTTCTACAGATAGTCTTTAAGTCCTGTTTTTATAATTAGCTAAAGTTTTAGATTTATATATTATAAATATAGTAGGTCTTTTAGTCTTATTTTAGTTGTATATAAAAATATTTATTTTTAGCCTGGTTCTAAAATCCTATTATAGCAGAACAGTCAGCTTTTTTCTAAGATTAAGTTATATCTAAAATTATTAGATATTATATAAAAGTGCACTTTTTTTTATATAGGATTTTATATTTATTTTTATTTATATAATAGAGTAAATTAGTATTTTATTACCTAAGATTTCTTATACTAATCTTAGATTAATACTAATAATTAACAGGCTATTTACTTTAGTAAATATTTTATTTATAATACTATAAGTTAGGTATTCTAAATTAATAAGAGTATAAATAGTTGTAGTAAGATTTAAAATAATTTTTACTAAAAAAATATATATATAACTATATATTCTTTTCTAAAACTTTTCTATTTTCTTTTAGTTTTATGTAGTAATTTTTATTTAAGTATATAACTTTATACTAAACTTTCTTTTTTTCTAAATTAGAGTTTTTATCTGAAGAGGTATACTATTCTTTTTATTATTAAAAAACAGATATTACAGCAGCTATACTTATTAGTTATATAGTAGATTTTAAAAAATATTAATAAATAAAATATCTATTTTATTTATAATAGAAGGAGTAATCTACTTTATATTTTTTATATTTTACTAGATATTATCTATTAAGCCTATTTCTAAAAATTATTAGTTGTTATATAGAAGTAGTATTTTTTTTATTATATAATAGTTATTTAAATAGGTTTTTATTTTATTAGTTTAAAGCTTAGTTTATATTATACCAGTATAGTTTTAATATAGCTTTTTTTTAAAAAATTTATTTTAATAAGATTATAGTTTATATAGTACAGTTATTTGTAATAACCTTTATATATAAACCTTTAGAAAATTCCAACTAATTTTTTAATAAGTCTTTAGTTTACTGCAGTATTTAGTATGGCCTTTTTTTATTTATTTAACTAATTATATTCTCGCACCTGTAGCAGAGCTTTGTTGAAGTTATTTAAAAATTCTTTTAATTCTATTTTTTTTATTTTATTATATTAATCTAGTTTAGAGTTTTTTATTATATATTAGGGTTTTTAAATATTTTATCTATTACTATAAGCATATCCTTCAGTTATACTATTTTTATACAGAGGCTAATTAGCTTTTATAAAAAAAGTTATATATTATTATATATAGCTGGAGATACTGCAGTCGGCCGCAGCTTTTTCTAATCTATTTATTCTATTATTCTAATATTTCTTTTGGTTTTATTTTATTTTATTTATATACCTAGTCGGGCTCTGTTTAGAACTTTTTAAAAAGCTATTTCTAATATTACAGAATAAATAGATTATACTAATTAAAACATACCTTAAAATTAAAAAAAATAGCTGAAGAGCTATTTTATCTGTTTGTATAAAATTCTTTTATATATATATACTAAGCTAGTGCTAGTTTAGTATGTAGCGTGCAAGGCCTCAGGTGCCAACTGGTGCCTGAAGCCGAGCTCTATATCAGGGCCTTGGTCCCATAACAGTTTTTAATAGAAAAATATAATAATAAAATTAATTATCTATTTAAATTAAATATACTTAACAATTTGAAACAGTAGGTAATAGGTAATTATAAAATATAGAATTTACTTTTAAAAATTTTATTTTATTATTAATAACTTCTTCCAACTAAAGTAAAATAGCGGTTTTTAAATTTATATATAAGCTTTAAAAAAGATTATCTTCTACTACTAACTTTAAAAAATAGGGATTTTCTTTTAAAAAGTTAGATATAAAATAATCTTCTGATTCTTCGCAACACATATAATCTTAAGATTTAAAAGGAAAAAAAATCTGGCTTAAAAGCTTATTTAGTTTAAATATTATTATAGTTTATAAAGATCTAAAAAATAAAAAAGGGCTTAATAGTATTTTCTAAAAATAAGCTAAATAACTATAATTAACTTTTAATTCTAAAACTACTCTGTAAGTAATAGATATAGAAGAATAAAAAAAAACTTTATAAAAATAATTTATTTTATTTTAAAATATATTTTATTATAAATATAATTTATTATATTTTAATATACAGCCAAAGCGCCCGCCGCATCTTATATATTTTAGTAGGCCTAGTAAGTAGGGAATTATATCTAAAACCTAAAATTAGAAATACTTAGGGCCAACTAGATTAAACAGATTAAAAATCTTATTTTTATATTTAGAAAAGACTTTTATAGAACCTACTATAAAAATATAGTATCTAATATTAAACTAAATAATTATTAAAAAGTATATTTATTAAAAAAAACTAAATACATAGTATATTACAGGATTTTAAATAGATTTAGATTAATAGAGTATTTAGAATTATTAGAATTAAAAAAATTAATTAGATTAATAAAATAATTAAACTTATTAGAATTAAAAAGATTAATTAGATTAGATATTAAGATTTATATTATAATATATAAAGTCTAAACAAAACTATAATTATATATTTATATATATATTTTTTATTATAAAAGTAATAATTTATAAAAAGCTGGAATTTACTAGTACTATTAAAAATTTCTTATTCTTTTTTGAATTTAAAGATAAAAAATAGTAATATTTTCTTTAATTATTTTTATTTAATTTAAAAAGCTTTTTTTATATACTTTTAAATAACAGTCAAAATAGTTAGATTAATAATCTATTAATCTAAATATATCTTAACTATACTAAAGCTAAAAGGAATATAATAAATAAATCTTACTATTAAAAATAATTAAAATAGTTAACTATCTAATTTTTAGCTATACTATAGTTAGATATCAAAATTTTCTTAACCTGGCTATAACCTGGCGGTTAGGTATAAAAATTTAAATTAACGTGACCTGACCTGGCCGTTAGCCACTCTAGGCAGGGCGGGCAGCAGCTTTTAGCAAATATAAAATATATAAAATATATACTAGAAATGTATAATATGTCTTATAATAATATAAATGGTGAGGGGGTGGGTTAAATTAAAAAACTTAATAAAGGGTAAGAATAGTTTCCATACTCTGAAAAGGGTGTGAATCGACTGTAGTGTATAATTGAGCCACACCCTGCGGGCCTAGGATTCCTGTGGTAGCTCACCAACAAGTCTCTTCTATTTTTCCTTTCTCCTTGTGCCTCCTTTGCGATATAGAAAACTGTATCCAGGTAAAAAGCTATTTATTTATAATCACAATATAGTTTAAAAAGGTTAAACAGATTGGAATATTAAGTCAGTCTAGACTCTGAAATACAAAATAATGTACATCAGAAATGGTATTTTGCTTAGGAAGATCAAATTATAAAATAGTATGGATTAGTTATGTATAGTTTATGTGTATTGTACATATAAGGCTTTTTATTTGATGTATCAAACCATAGAACTGTATGGAACTGTTGTAGAATAGTTTTTAAGACTTCTTGGTACTCTATGGTCAAAATATGTGATCCACTTATTTTGCCTCTTCCACTTATTTATAAAACAGCAACTAAGAAAAGGCCTAAATTTTACTCAGCTGCATTTAATAAGTGGCTTAAGTACGGCTGAGCGCTCTGTTTTCCACACTCTGGAGTCGTATGTGCTTGATTCTAATAATAAAGTTAACATGTCCGTACAGTGAAGCCGACGATAGCCTTGTAGCCCCAACACCCAACGGTGGATCACTAGACATGCTAATCCACTCTTCAAATTAGACCAGCGATCACCACGCAGATACGTGCACCGGCCAAGTCCATGAGTTGAAACACAAATACCAGAGCACGCAATCGGCCGAAGCCCGGCGGGATATTCCTTCGAGCATCCCTGCCCCCCCCCCCCAGAATACAACCACGGCGTGAACTGAGGTGACTTCCCTCTCCCCGTTCCGTCCGACCGGTCCAGCGACAGAACCCAAACAAACACACTCGAGGTAACGTCCACTTCGGTCCGCCACATTAATCAGAAGACGGTCTCAAAATTGTCCTTGGTGAACTCGTAAATGGCGCGAAAGTCGCGGCAGAGATGCGGGTTCCCCATCCCGAAGACGACGGTACGATGCCGGTCGTAGACAGCCCCCTCCATCGTCGTGTCCCCGGCGCACATGATCCCCTGGCGGATGTAGTCGATGCAGTGGGGCAAGTGGTCGACTTGATCAAGCTCGGAGATGTCGATTTCCTCCCGTCGCCCCTCCTGGACTTTGAGGATGATCTCATAGATCGTTTTGCGGACGTAGTCCTGTGCCACAGGGAACAAGGTCAATGAACATTACGGCATTAGGAACATGCAAAACAATTAATAGAGCTAGCCGATGCGGAGACGAGGCTCAGAAGTCTTACCAGGCAATGGAGCTGGTGAAACATCGAAATCGAGAAGCGTGAGTACCCGTCGCCAGTGGGGAGGCCGGGGGTGAGCTCGTATTTCTGGTAGTCGCGGATGAGGACAAAACCGCGACCCGCTGCAGGAGGTTCGATCCAGGGCGTCTTAGTGACATTTATGGGAAGGGAAAGGCTGTCTGCGGTAGTCACTCACGAGGGAGTAGGGCATCCCATGTCTCGTTCAACATTCCACCATCACGGGTAGGCTCGACGCCAAAGACCTCATCGTGCTTGAAGCTCTCCAATACGTATGGGACTGATTTGGGATGGGGAGAAGTTGTCAGTATCCTCTTTGCGTGGCAAAAGACTGCCTGGCCGCAAGTGAAGAAGAGGGAAAGTCACCATCAGGCACGACCGTGGGCGGTGCAACTGGGATGTGTTTGTGCGGGAAACTGCGGGACCAGAACGCCCCAAGGGCAGCCGAGGCGAGCATCAGGGCGAATACGAGTACGCTCTTCACTACGACGAGCTGGTAGTTGCGCCAGAATTCGTGAACCATTTCGGAGAGCCATGGGCGGTGAAACGGGGATCGTGGACCGAGGGCATCATCATCGATTTCAGTCTCGTTTGACAATTTCGAATATTCCGAGGGCTGATTCAGGAATTCCATCGTGACGGTCTCAGAAGCAGCGAAGTTGAGGTCTTAGCGGCAAGTGTTACATCGAGCGAGAGCCGTGTGCGTATGTGGGAGGTCAACCTACCCTCGGGTGATTGTTGGTGGGCACGGACGTGTATTTATAACCTGGTGGGCTGATACGGAGGGCTATCTTGCGCAGTGAGGGGAGGTTAACAATTGGAACCTACTGACTAGCGTGTAGTTCAAAACGCTTCATCTCGAGTCCTCTGATCATGCTCATTGACCTGGTCTTGATGAAGGTCACTATCTCAAGCCTGAAGCCCAATCCAACCCCGGGTACGCAGAAATTAGAACAATGCTATCCCCAATCTACTCTCTTGTAATTGACTCTGTCATATCTCAACTATTTAAAACCAGGTGCGATTGTACTGGCGCTCGCGATCGATTTGAAAACGACTAATAGCATCATAGTCGACACACTCATGCTCCACCCCCCAGCCAGACACCGTCGTTGCCACGCCCTCGTCTGGAACAAACAGCGGTGTATATCCTTCGATCTCAAAAATAGCATTGCCACAGAGGACACTCTGGCGTAGGTACTCAAAGCAATGGTTGACATGCACGTTCCATTTCTTTTCGGTGTACTGGGGCGTGCTGGGGCCGCCGGTCTTGATCTGCCAATAGTGGGCGCGAATATGATTCTTGATTTGGGTCAATTAGCCTTAATAGACCCAGACCTGCTCACTGAGGAAACGTACCAAGCAATGCATCTGGTGCATGATGGACAAGACGTAGAAATCTTGTGGGGGTGGACTCGGTCGATTGGGGTGGTAGTAGGGCGACGGCATTCCCGGCGGCAGATTGTAGTCCCGTTGCTCCTGCTCGGTCATATAGAGAACGTCGTGAGCTACCAACCTATTAGCATTGATCTCTCTGATTATCACGGTCGTCAACTGAATGTACCCGCGATCAGAGCCTCCCAGTGGTCGTTCGCCTCCTCGGACGGTCCAACATAGCGCCCATCCATCTGAAAGCTGCGTTTGACGGTCTTGAACACCGAGGCCGGCAGGTGAGACTTGCGGTCTGCGGTCTGCACGGGTGCTGTCCGAACCCAGAGAGTGATTGCCAGGAGCCATCCCACCACTAAGAGGAAGTAGAGGACACACTGAACCGTTGTCCGGCGAGCTGTAGAGGATTCCGATGCTTTCTCCAAATCGAGGTCCGCTGCTTCGATCTCTTCATCTTGACACTCTTCCGCGTAGGAGGAGAGAAAGGGTTGTTTGGCCTTCGAGTCCTCCATCGTGGTGTTTGTGCTTCGAATGAGAAGCGGCCAGGAAGCAGTCGTCCAGAGCCCCAAATGACTTGTCGGGAAGAAGAATGGGCTCTGGTCAGAAGGTCTTGATTTGAAATCAATCGCGTGTCTTTCTGCATGTCTTAGATTGAGGAGACATGAGCATGTACGAGGTTCCCAGCTTGGAGCATCATATCCACCTTGATGCATAATGCTGGTATTGCGGCAATACGATACAGCCCGGTAAGTTACCTTGAAAGATGTATAGTACCATACTGGAGCTAGGTATGAATGACGGTACGGTAAAGTACATTTCCGTGATAGGTGGGACATGCGACAAGCTTATCTTCATGGTCTGAGCGCTGCTGCGTCTGCAGAAAATCAAGCTTTGGTCATGTCCCTGTTCTCTACCTCCAATTCTTGATTAGACGCAGCCAATCGGCGCAATCTTGAGCTGCAGATAGATTCACCGTCTATGCTCGGAGTCACACTGTCATCGCATTCGGGAATGTCCCATAGACAATTTGTTTGGCTGAGGCCCTATCTACTACCTCTTGTTGGGTTCTCCGCAGCTTGCATAAGATGGATCAAACCGATACGTACAGTTCCGATCTGCAAAGCAGGATTGAGCCAAAAGGAACAGACAAAGAAGGCAGACTGTGTAAACCGCAGTTGTGCAAGTGAAATCTTCGGTCTGTACTAGATAGCGTGACACTCGGACTCTGCGACTTGGATCTTCCCGGTTGCCTTGTCCTCCAGATAGTCCTCAATGCGCAACCCCCCCACCTCATCCTCCACGACTAGCGCCGCCCCGCGAAAATCGCTCAGATTCCTCCCAATCGTCCACTCAAGCAATTGGTCATACTTCTTACAGGTATGAATGGTGTCCACCCGAGGTCGCATGCTCTTGGTGGCGTCATTCCACTGCACCGGGATAATTGAGATGTCGGCCGAGCACATGAGGGACTGGCGGACTTGATCGATACAGTGATCTGGCAGGTGAAAGTTAGCAGCTTGTCACGCAGGGATACTCGTATCCTTGAAATGTATACCTATGTGGAGCCATGTACAGTAATCCAGCGTTCCGTCTTTGTGATACATGCTCCGGCCGTAGCGCTCTGGATAAAAGGCCTGGCGAATGAAGTTCTAGCGACGGCATGAGCAATTGAGATTACCTCGCTATAGTACAGCAACGAACCAACATACCAGGCAATGTAACTGGTGAAAGACATCGAGGACGACCATGTACTGGTCTTCGAGCCCGGGTTCGGCGACGCGAGAGGTTACATTGGGGAGCTGCATGGCCGCTTCCCGGTCCACGTATGTGAACAGGCCAGCTGTTTCTCGCAGAAATTAGTGGTGAGCATTCCACACACACTGGGTGACAAGAGGTGGGCTCACAGTGGTAGGACTCGAGCCAGAGTCGGTCTTTCTCATCATCGGGCCAGCCTTGGAAGGGGGATTTGTCGTCCCCGCGGCTGCGGTAGAAGGTGCGGGTCTCGTACTCCACTAGGGGGTTCACCGGTGCTGTTTGTGATGTGAGCATGGCACTCAAGTTACACTCATTCTTTTCACAAGTTACATACAATAGAGAAGAAGTTCGGGATGTTGTTCGGGCAGCCAGAGCCTGGGTGTAACGAGCAGGATGAGAAGAATTGTGACGAGACACCACGGCAATGCTAAGGGTAGGGTGCGTTGGAAGACAGATCTCTGCTTAGGTGGATGGGAACAATGAGGGCAAGCCACCTCACCATCTCTCGTTCCAAGAAGCGTTTCTTCCTCCTCGAGGGCTGGAGGATTCATGGTGCCTGTCTGTATTGTCGATGCTGTCCAAGGTCGGGTTCACCTTCGCCTCGGTAATTAAATGGATATTCGGAAGAGACGAGGGTCATGACGGCTCCAATCCTGCAGGACCAGCCGCTTCATCCCGACACATCAGTCTGTCTGAACCATGCATGAAGCTATTGGTAAGTAACATCAGTCTGTTTTAATTACATACATGGTGGATTACAGGTATTTTCACTAACGTCATGTAAGTAACTTATGCATACTCATACCTTGCTCTGAATCCGAATCTCGGACTAAACAACGGGCCTGGAGCAAAGCTTGAACCGTGAGCCATGCAGTCTGGCCATGGAATAAATCGCAGCGGCACAATCAAGCACTAAGCGGGATGCATCGACCGACGAATCCCATCTCATCTGCTCCGTTTGGCGTTCAATACGGATATTGTGAGATTTAATAAATTCTCCGGCAGAGCAGAGAGCGGATGAATCCGCGACAGGTGTAAGAACTACCACTACCGAAGATGAGGACAGCTGCCGACCCGTGGTGGATGCTGGCGCTGACTTGCGGCCTTGGAGGGTGCGCGTACCTCTCTTCTCCTCGAAGCCATTCCTGACAATCTCTCAAGGGTCCAGGTCCTCTGGACGATGATGCAATCCAGTGGCACGGTGAGATTCCAATCCAGAGCGCCTGTAATCTGTTACTAACTCGGATAGTCTTTCCTCCTGTCTCTCGGGCTGCCCGCCCCCCTCACAGCCTTTGCCTGGGTGTCCGCCCCTCTCGCGGGTACTTTTGTGTATCCCTGGATGGGAAGCTTGAGCGACCGATGCAAGTCTCGTTACGGTCGTCGCCGGCCCTTCATCCTGCTCGGTGCAGTGGGGGCGGTCCTACTCTTGGCCTCGTTGGCCTGGGTGGAGACTGTGACTCGTGCTGTTTGTCTTCCTTTGGGAGTGGATGAACCTATTCTGCAGAGAGTGATCCTAGTGACTGCACTGATCCTGATTTGGTTATTGAATTTTGCCATCCAGCCCCTTCAGATGGGGTTGCGCGCTCTCAGCGTGGACGTCTGTCCCGGGGCCGAGCAAGGTCGAGCCAATGCGTGGGCAACAAATTGCATCGGAGTCGGCAGATTCCTTGGTTATGTCTCCGCATACAGTGTCGGGCTTGGCTCAACGCCTGCCGAGCAGTTTCAGGCGATGGCTCTCATAGCAATCTTGTGCCTGTGTGCTACAGTCGCTTACTGCTGTGCGGTGATCGAAGAGTCGCCTCATACACCCCAAGCCACTTCTACGAGGTTAGCGCTGTCGCCTAGATGTTGGCTCTCGATTTATCGTGCCTTGCCGTCCGGTGTTCGTCTCCTTTGCCAAGCCCAAGTGTGTGCTTGGACGGCATGGTTCTCTTTCTTGTATTATTCCACGATGTAAGTTATCTCCTCTAATGGGATAGAAAAATGCTGAACTGCGTGGCTGACACCGGGGGAAAGCTATATTGAAACACTAAGTGCGTACATCATTAACGAGACAGCCTCTCTATACTAACCCTCATCCAGACAAGATGTCCTTCCAATCCAGCAGCAATATCATTGTGTCTATGCAACAAGGAGTTGTGTTTGGACTCGCCTTTGCCATTGTGGCTTTGTGCACCGCACTCACTTTGCACGGCCTCATGAATCGGTCAAAAAGCAAGCATGAGCAAGCTATTGCGAGGTACGGCATTTGGAAGCTCCTTGCCGGAAGCCATGTGACCTTTGGGTGCATTTTGCTGGCCACTATACTCGTAGACCAGTGGATCCCTTCAGCAGTCATTCTCTGTCTTTGCGGTATACCTTGGTCATTGCTGCTTTGGGCACCTTACACGATTATCGGAAGTGAGTTTGCGGGATTTGAAGGGGATCCAGATGGCTGCGAAGAGCGTATCGAGGCGCGAAACCTTGACATCGGCGTAGTATTGAGTGTACATAATATCTGCATTTCGTTGCCACAGGTCTTTGCTGCCGTGCTGGATGGGGGGATCATCTGGGCCGCGGGGAGAATGGGGTCCCAGAACAGTGCCGGCTGGGTTTTAAGACTGGGAGCGGCAGGCCCTCTGATAGCGGCCTATCTTACCATCAAAATGGTCCGATATTAGTATAATTGAAATGCTTGCTTGATCTCACTCAATTTACGCCAACAATAAAGCAAACTAGTGGAGAAGTCTGTCCTTGCATAGTAGATTCCGGCAAACTAGAATCTATGCACAGATATGTACGCTGGCCTGCATGACTCGCTATGTACATTCCTGGCCGTCACTGCATACATTCATCGACGGCTACCTGAACACACCATCTCCCGACACCTCTGACCATCGAATTGACGCACACCCGGCGAAACAGCTACACACCACCTCCTACATTTATTGGTTCAGTTTCCAGATTTGAGCCCTTCCACCTTGACTCTGGAAAGCATCAGCAAGCTGTCATTCTAAGACTCCAATCAGGACCTACCGATGGTGGCTGAGCTTAGTGCTTCTTGGTCTCATACTCTCCATAATTCTTGGTCCAGATGATCTCACGAGCGGGATCAACAACGGCACCATCCTCC